GTAGCTACCTAAAAAAAATAATCTATACACCTAATCAAAACTGTTTCCCATAAAAAAAAAGCCACAAATATGTGCAGGTGCTGGGTATATAAATAGCTGGGTGCACTTGTGTAGTCTATAAAGTAATATCAGTTCACCTCCATAGCCTGACCCTCACCTCTCATCAAGTAGTTTTGCGGCTGGTGGCTTTTTTTTTTTCTTTCACCAGTTCTGTTCAAGTTGAAATGAATAGAAACAGTGTTCGGCAAGATGGCATTAAGAGGTGTGCCAAGTTCATTGGCCATTTGTCACCCAGTTCAGTCAAGCCAAATGTTCCAGTCAATGGCTAGAGTGGCATTTTCTCTAAGTGCTGACACAGAAGAAGGTGCTTGGTTCAGATTGCACAAGGTTCATTTGAAAAAGTCACTGAATTCAAATTTTAAAGTCAACTTAGTAGCAATCTAAAACCGCATCACAATTGATACTAGTAGTTTTACTAAAGGCACTACTATGACCTTCAACTTAGACTAGTAGCAATCTAAAACTGCATCACAATTGATTATTTTAGTATTACTAAAAGTACTAATTACAAACTACTATGATCTTCAACTTAGTCGCAATCTAAAACCGCATCACAATTGATACTAGTATTACTTAAAGATTTGAAAGAAGGCCTCTGTGCCTACTATTGTTACCGTTATTGAATAAATGAATATATAAATAAGTACTAATTACAAACTACTATGGTCTTCAATTAGCTTTCTTAGTACAATTTTTGTCATAAGTTTGGCTTCTTTTAATTACAACTCAGTTTCGCTCCATGTTCTCTATGGGGGAGGGCACTTAAAACTTCCAGGGGGGGGGGGGGGGGACGACTACATTGTTGAGGGTTTGTGGACACTGGTAAAAGTAAATATATTCTAAATAAATTCTATTTAATATGGGGGTGGTGGTGTAGGGATACTTCAGAGGGGTACCCCTCCCCCCCCCCCCCCAGAAGAGATGCCTGAAAGAAACACTGGTTTTGCTGATACCCAATTATTTTTTTTTAATAGTAACCATGAACATATGCAGAGTCAAAAAATTTAATTTTGAGATTTTAAACCATTTTTCAATATATTTATTTAATCAGTTTTATTCTAACTATTCATTCTTGTCACATAATCACTGTGCAGGTTTGAATGTATGAATGAATGTCTTTTACCTACTTTGTAAATAGTTAAAATGTGTACAGTTTTACCAAATATTTTATCATATAAACCAGTATATTACACTAAATATATATTTTTTTCATGACAACCCTTCTCTCTCCCTCAAGAAACCATAGGAGGAAATAAAATGGCTATGTATGTTGTTAAGGGGAAGATACTCTTCTGTAGATTCTTACCATGAGTTTTTTCCCCTGTATTTTACACCCATTGAATTTTTTTCCTGGCAGTTTCTTTGAGGAAATATATTTTTTTTGGTTTGTGGCTGAGTCAGCAACTATAGAGAATAAGTATTCTGGTATGAGGAGGCTGCAGGTGTATGTATGAATGAGAGTCAAGGATATCTTTTAGTGCCAAAGACATGTGTCTGTGCAGAAAAATATCTATACAGAAAACAGACATGATAATACAGACAATTAATAAAAGTCTTTTTCTCTGAATGAAATAATATATAGGTATATATTTGGTTTCAAATAACTTTAAATAATTTACCCCAGCAGACTTACAATGAAATAATAATACGTTTAAAGACTTAGTGTAAAAGGAAAAACTACATTAAATAAGAACTTTATTTTCTTTATTTGTTGCTAAGGTAACCTCAAGAATTAAAAAAAATACTGTGCTAACCAGGAAGCACAAATACAAACACAACGCCAGACAAAAAGAAAAAAGCCATAATGTATGCAGGAAGCACACCATATTTCTAGTCATCTAAATATAAATTTATACAATGGCTTCGACAAAAAAAAAGAAAAAACAAGAGAGCTGTCACTGTATCCAGGAAGCCTAACTGTACATAACTATAGAGGTCTTGCAATATAGGCTCAAAAATAGGAGGGGGTCGCAGTAAAGAAAAGCACGAAGAAAGAGTGGGTGGTGTGAGTAGACTCTGGCGCCAACACCTGTATATAGGTATGGGCTGATTCTTTTCTTTCCCCCACTTTTTTTTCTGACATAGGGGGAGCGTGGGAAAGTTGGGAAATAGCTGAGGTAACAGGCTGGGGTAGGATGGAAGGTGAGCTAGGTATAATAGCTGGGGTAGGATGGAAGGTGAGCTAGGTATAATAGCTGAGGTAGGATGGAAGGTGAGCTAGGTATAATAGCTGAGGTAACAGGCTGGGGTAGGATGGATGGTGAGCTAGGTATAATAGCTGAGGTAACAGGCTGGGGTAGGATGGATGGTGAGCTAGGTATAATAGCTGAGGTAGGATGGAAGGTGAGCTAGGTATAATAGCTGAGGTAGGATGGAAGGTGAGCTAGGTATAATAGCTGGGGTAGGATGGAAGGTGAGCTAGGTATAATAGCTGAGGTAGGATGGAAGGTGAGCTAGGTATAATAGCTGAGGTAGGATGGAAGGTGAGCTAGGTATAATAGCTGAGGTAGGATGGAAGGTGAGCTAGGTATAATAGCTGAGGTAGGATGGAAGGTGAGCTAGGTATAATAGCTGAGGTAGGATGGAAGGTGAGCTAGGTATAATAGCTGGGGTAACAGGCCGGGGTGCTCCCTCAAAATCTTCATTTTTTTTCCAGCTAAATAAGGATTTTTGAAATAAAAACCCAGTCCAGTTACTAGTGTCTAATTTGTATTTCCTGGTAAAAAACGAAACAAAAGTTCTTAAAACAACAACTGTCTGCCATTATTCATAACCTAAACGCTAAACATATTACTGGTGTAGTAAATGAGTTACCTTTTATAAAATAGAATACACTTTTATTATTTGCATTACATTGTAGTACAATGTACCATGTGTGTGAATAGGTAAAATAAACCGTACTCCTGTTACCACTACCACCACCATGTAGACAGACTAAATAGTAGCAGAGTAGAATTTTGACCAGTAGACACCGCTAGATTCATCATGATAAATGTTGCCTGGTGTTTATTTAAAGATACATGAGAAGATGTTTATAAGCTGTGCCAGTCTTCACATCTAATGCACATTTGATGCCAGCCATTCTGTGTGCACTCCTGAAGGCTAGCGCTGGTTTGAGCCAGGGGTCTGGGAAAACAATGATTTGAGGATGGCTGGCTCTTGAGATGGTAAGGAGGGTGGGCGTTAACAGCAGACAAAACAAGGTGATCCAATGTTTTGTTAAGGTTTAGCCAGAGATCCAAGACATGGAGCAAGCACTGGTAGACAGTTGCCCAGCAAGAGGGGAAATTATACACAAGGGAAGTAACCAGTATTTCAAATCAAAAACATTAACTGCCCATGTTTTTTAGGATATACTTATACAGAGGTCAATATTTATTTATGTCTAAATAGTTGAGATTCTAAATCCATGCCATTCAGTGGTTATCAAAATTTCAATTTTTTAAATATAATGCAAAACCTATACTTTCTCACACACAAGTTTTCAAGTGAATGTGTGTTTTAGACAAGCAATTAAATACCAAAGTCACATCTTTATAACTTCACTCATATGTTTCAAGTTTTCTGGTTAAAACCATTTTAATATATAATTTATCATCATATAAAAGACAATAATTTTGACTTTCTTCCTTTATTGTTGAAAAATAATAAAAATATGAACAAACTCAATCCCTCTCCATGTATTTTGTTGGTCATAAAAATATTCTAACTTTTTATTCATTTGCTTTTACTTTTTATTTTAATATTTTTAAAAGCAAGCAAAAATTATTTTTTTTTATCTAAACCTGTGCTCCAGGTGGTTCTACTTGCATTTCTAAAATCTTGTCACATAAAAGTGAACTGCATTTCTTGAACAAAATTTCTAGAAAATTATTACATAAAAATGAACTGAGAGATTATATACTAAGTGCAGATACCTTTAGTACTTGCTAAAAACATTGGAACTAATCAAACCGTAGCAGGTACACCAAACTCAATATCCCACATTTCTCCCATGGAGATTTAGCCAACAATATACACCAAGCCAATTTTCAAAAGAAGAAAAACAGGTTCTTAGTCATCGGTAATGTCAAGGCGGCCTGACAATTTCGTCGACTGACCGATTTTGCAACCGCAGGCTTACGCGTGGAAGACAGGACAAAGACTTAAAAATTATTAATTAACCAGAACTTTAGAACAGGATTTATTAAATCATAGTCCAGGACAGAATTTAAAATTAAACAGAATGAATTATAAAAATAATTTAAATTAAAACACTGACATTTTTTAAAACTGTTTCAGATTAAAAAAATATCTGCACATATATACCGTATAGACCCATTTAATATATATATATATATAATGTGGATAAAATATATTTTTGTATACGTGTAAAATAAATATTCTACAGACAGATTTTAAAAATACACACCTGGGTGCTATATTAAAACTACCTCTGCATAAGACCAAATCCAGTCAGCAGATTTTATTACCCACCCCATGCAGATCTGGTATCATTCAAACAGCCCCTAAAACATGTTAGGCGGGAAGATGAAATAAAGAACCAGCGCCTAAAACTAATGTACATACATTGTCCGTCTGCTCTAACGGGTCAGGGCGACCTAACTTTATCCTGGCATGTAACCCACGCTTCAAAAAAATTCATGACCCTAACCTTCTTTTTTATGCCCTTCCATTTTTTTCTCTTTAGACACTTATTAATCTACAGCAATGAAACTCAATAACTTTACTAACTATTAGTGTGTGTGTGTGTGTCTATATATATATATATATATATATATATATATATATATATATATATATATATATATATATTTATATTTATATAAAATAATAATAATAATTGGGTGCATGTGTATAGTTTTCATAGATGTTAAAACATGTTTTTTTGGTTAGTCTATGGAAATAAATTTTGATTTTAAATTTATTTATTTTTTCAGATCAGTGAAGGGCTTGTGTCTGAATAATGTGAGAATGTAAGTATTTTTTTATTGACTCTCCTAGCTTAGTTTCTGTAGTCACTGGTTCGCTATAACCCCAAGGGTAACCGACCTTCCTGTCCTACACCTGACAGCACCTGAGCTGTCCAGACACCTGGCTACTTAAGTTCAAACCTAGACCAGACACCTGGCTACTTAAGTTCAAACCTAGACCAGACACCTGGCTACTTAAGTTCAAACCTAGACCAGACACCTGGCTACTTAAGTTCAAACCTAGACCAGACACCTGGCTACTTAAGATCAAACCTAGACCAGACACCTGGCTACTTAAGTTCAAACCTAGACCAGTTAACACACAGGTTCAGCTGATCTCAAACCAAATCTGAATGATCACAATTAGATGGGAGGGGACCTGCAGGTTTCTAGTCTAGGGTGATAATAACGGGCCAGTGGCGCGCATGTCGGTGTGTTGCGCATGCGCGCGGGTCAGAGCACAGTTAACAAAACACACTAAAGAGACATGTTGGGTCACTGTGCCCCGACTAATATCAGCCATGCTTGTCCTAAGGGTCAATGTGCCCTCATCAGTTTTTCCGCCATTTTTCCCTGGCATGTCGTTTAAACAGATTTGAACTCTATTTTACCACAATTTATATACAGATTCACCCTATAACTCTTGTATTTAATAGCTCTGCTAATGGAAACAGGATTTCACAACTTTTGCTGGCAAAAAATGACTCTAATCTATTTAGAACCTGCATATATTAATTCTCTTTCAAGTCCTTTTTTTATCTAAGAAGAAAAAAAAAAATCTCCATTATAAGAGAGGTCTGATAAAAATAAAATCAAAGAAAGAAAGCTGACAACTAAAAGAGATGATCACAGCTCTAGTATAGATCTGCCTATGAGTTACACCAATGCCCTTCTTCATTCATCTCCCAACACTTCCACCCCCACCCCACACTCTACTTATGAATGCATAGGTGCTAAGACATGCCTGCTATTTGCTAAGCTCAGCAGATTATGCATTAGCCAACTCTCACTGTGAATACAGGCAAAGCATTGGGGCTGGTTGCAAGTATAAAGTGTACTTAATTTCATAAAATGGACATCTTACCCCAGACCTAGGTTTAGATTATATATTCTATACCAAGAGCCCACTCTGATATAGGCACTATTCATAACTAACATACTTTTCAAACAGTTAAACAAGTAACTTGAAGATATTCTTTTTAATAAAATGTCATACAACTTTTAATACGTATTTAATTAGTGTATCTGATTTCCAGGGAACATGATTTACTGATCAATTACAGGAAAAAATATGTGGGGTACTAAGATGAAATTTTCATAAGTTTGATAGTTAAGTTGCAAGAGTAGGCTAGAAAAAGAGAAATAAAGATGGTAGTTAAATACATTTGAACATGAGGAATGTGAGGGTGTAGTTGCCATAAAGATGGTATTGAATGCATTTAACATGAGGAATGTGAGGGTGTAGTTGCCATAAAGATGGTATTGAATGCATTTAACATGAGGAATGTGAGGGTGTAGTTGCCATAAAGATGGTATTGAATGCATTTAACATGAGGAATGTGAGGGTGTAGTTGCTATAAAGATGGTATTGAATGCATTTAACATGAGGAATGTGAGGGTGTAGTTGCCATAAAGATGGTATTGAATGCATTTAACATGAGGAATGTGAGGGTGTAGTTGCCATAAAGATGGTATTGAATGCATTTAACATGAGGAATGTGAGGGTGTAGTTGCCATAAAGATGGTATTGAATGCATTTAACATGAGGAATGTGAGGGTGTAGTTGCCATAAAGATGGTATTGAATGCATTTAACATGAGGAATGTGAGGGTGTAGTTGCCATAAAGATGGTATTGAATGCATTTAACATGAGGAATGTGAGGGTGTAGTTGCCATAAAGATGGTATTGAATGCATTTAACATGAGGAATGTGAGGGTGTAGTTGCCATAAAGATGGTATTGAATGCATTTAACATGAGGAATGTGAGGGTGTAGTTGCCATAAAGATGGTATTGAATGCATTTAACATGAGGAATGTGAGGGTGTAGTTGCCATAAAGATGGTATTGAATGCATTTAACATGAGGAATGTGAGGGTGTAGTTGCCATAAAGATGGTATTGAATGCATTTAACATGAGGAATGTGAGGGTGTAGTTGCCATAAAGATGGTATTGAATGCATTTAACATGAGGAATGTGAGGGTGTAGTTGCCATAAAGATGGTATTGAATGCATTTAACATGAGGAATGTGAGGGTGTAGTTGCCATAAAGATGGTATTGAATGCATTTAACATGAGGAATGTGAGGGTGTAGTTGCCATAAAGATGGTATTGAATGCATTTAACATGAGGAATGTGAGGGTGTAGTTGCCATAAAGATGGTATTGAATGCATTTAACGTGAGGAATGTGAGGGTGTAGTTGCCATAAAGATGGTATTGAATGCATTTAACATGAGGAATGTGAGGGTGTAGTTGCCATAAAGATGGTATTGAATGCATTTAACGTGAGGAATGTGAGGGTGTAGTTGCCATAAAGATGGTATTGAATGCATTTAACATGAGGAATGTGAGGGTGTAGTTGCCATAAAGATGGTATTGAATGCATTTAACCTGAGGAATGTGAGGGTGTAGTTGCCATAAAGATGGTATTGAATGCATTTAACATGAGGAATGTGAGGGTGTAGTTGCCATAAAGATGGTATTGAATGCATTTAACATGAGGAATGTGAGGGTGTAGTTGCCATAAAGATGGTATTGAATGCATTTAACATGAGGAATGTGAGGGTGTAGTTGCCATAAAGATGGTATTGAATGCATTTAACGTGAGGAATGTGAGGGTGTAGTTGCCATAAAGATGGTATTGAATGCATTTAACATGAGGAATGTGAGGGTGTAGTTGCCATAAAGATGGTATTGAATGCATTTAACCTGAGGAATGTGAGGGTGTAGTTGCCATAAAGATGGTATTGAATGCATTTAACATGAGGAATGTGAGGGTGTAGTTGCCATAAAGATGGTATTGAATGCATTTAACATGAGGAATGTGAGGGTGTAGTTGCCATAAAGATGGTATTGAATGCATTTAACATGAGGAATGTGAGGGTGTAGTTGCCATAAAGATGGTATTGAATGCATTTAACGTGAGGAATGTGAGGGTGTAGTTGCCATAAAGATGGTATTGAATGCATTTAACATGAGGAATGTGAGGGTGTAGTTGCCATAAAGATGGTATTGAATGCATTTAACATGAGGAATGTGAGGGTGTAGTTGCCATAAAGATGGTATTGAATGCATTTAACATGAGGAATGTGAGGGTGTAGTTGCCATAAAGATGGTATTGAATGCATTTAACATGAGGAATGTGAGGGTGTAGTTGCCATAAAGATGGTATTGAATGCATTTAACATGAGGAATGTGAGGGTGTAGTTGCCATAAAGATGGTATTGAATGCATTTAACATGAGGAATGTGAGGGTGTAGTTGCCATAAAGATGGTATTGAATGCATTTAACATGAGGAATGTGAGGGTGTAGTTGCCATAAAGATGGTATTGAATGCATTTAACGTGAGGAATGTGAGGGTGTAGTTGCCATAAAGATGGTATTGAATGCATTTAACATGAGGAATGTGAGGGTGTAGTTGCCATAAAGATGGTATTGAATGCATTTAACGTGAGGAATGTGAGGGTGTAGTTGCCATAAAGATGGTATTGAATGCATTTAACATGAGGAATGTGAGGGTGTAGTTGCCATAAAGATGGTATTGAATGCATTTAACATGAGGAATGTGAGGGTGTAGTTGCTATAAAGATGGTATTGAATGTATTTAACATGAGGAATGTGAGGGTGTAGTTGCCATAAAGATGGTATTGAATGCATTTAACATGAGGAATGTGAGGGTGTAGTTGCCATAAAGATGGTATTGAATGCATTTAACATGAGGAATGTGAGGGTGTAGTTGCCATAAAGATGGTATTGAATGTATTTAACATGAGGAATGTGAGGGTGTAGTTGCCATAAAGATGGTATTGAATGCATTTAACATGAGGAATGTGAGGGTGTAGTTGCCATAAAGATGGTATTGAATGCATTTAACATGAGGAATGTGAGGGTGTAGTTGCCATAAAGATGGTATTGAATGCATTTAACATGAGGAATGTGAGGGTGTAGTTGCCATAAAGATGGTATTGAATGCATTTAACATGAGGAATGTGAGGGTGTAGTTGCCATAAAGATGGTATTGAATGCATTTAACATGAGGAATGTGAGGGTGTAGTAGCCAGAGGAAAAAGGGTCAACAAACAGGATAGCTGGGATTTTTTTTAGTAAGATAAAGTTAAGGAATTGGGTGCAGTTTAACAATACAAGGAGTGGCACGCTGCATGAGAGAAAGTTCTAGAAGAATAACCGTCATGTTTCTGTGCAAAGAATGCACGGTTTTGTAATCACATTTTCAATTTAGAAAAATTGTATCCAGGTAATTTTATATTTTTGTTCCCTTTAGATTTAAAATAATATTTTAAAAGATTTTTCAATTACTCTTAACTGGGTACAAAATTTATTTTAAATTTACATTTAAAATAATAGAAAATAAGTATAGTTTTACATTTTATTGGGGTATGCCCATTAAAGTGAAGGTAGCTATAAAAAGCATATTAGCTAAAGTAATAAAATATTCACTAAACCCTCTCCACATCCACCCCTGCCAACATTCCTACCAATGGTCTGCGAGTTGTTTTGTTCCATTCCCGTCTCTCACTCTCCTAACAATTTACAACACGCAACGCTTTCCCTTTGCATAAAAACACACTGAGGCCTTTGGTCTCAAAACGCATGTGGGGGTTTCTAGGGCATTTCGTGTGTTCCAATCAAGTAACATGCGTTCCCGCCCGCGCCAATGCTCAGTAACACATGTGATCTGCATTTGATAAGACCATTTTCTCCAGACTGCTGTGCCAGACTGATGTGAAAATATTTCATTTGTGCATCTGTTTTGCTGTTTCAT